GAAACAGGAATAAAGACACAGACTTACTAGAGAATGGACTTGCGGATATGGGGAGGGGGAAGGGTAAACTGTGACAAAGCGAGAGAGAGGCATGGACATATATACACTACCAAACGTAAGGTAGATAGCTAGTGGGAAGCAGCCGCATAGCACAGGGAGATCAGCTCCGTGCTTTGTGATCGCCTGGAGGGGTGGGATAGGGAGGGTGGGAGGGAGGGAGATGCAAGAGGGAAGAGATATGGGAACATATGTATATGTATAACTGATTCACTTTGTTATAAAGAAACTAACACACCATTGTAAAGCAATTATACTCCAATAAAGATGTAAAATAAAAAATAAATAAATAAATAAAATATGACGCAAAAGAGCTTATCTCCAAACAGAAACAAACTCACAGACATAGAGAACAGACCTGTGGTTGCCAAGGGGGCATGAGGTGAGGTAGGGATGGATTGGGAGTCTGGGATTAGCAGATGCAAACTATTATATATAGAATGGACAAACAACAAGTTCCTATTGTATACCACAAGGAACTATATTCAGTATCCTGTGATAAACCATCATGGAAAAGAATATGAAAAAAATGTATATATAAATATATATACAACTGAATCACTTTGCTGTATAGTAGAAATTAACAGCATTGTAAATCCACTGTACTTCAATAAAACAAATTTTAAAAAATAAAATAATATCTCTGTTCTATAGGAATAACCATCATTTAGTCACTGAGAGAGGAAACTGTCATGTGAAAGTCTCTTTTCTTTGCCATGTGTTCCTTTTTGTTTTTTTTCTTGGCAGTAGGCAGAGATCTGAGCCTAACAGTGAAGATAATGAAATTAAAAATGATTCACACTTCCAGCTCCCATTTGAAGAGTACAAGAAACCTCTGAGTTTCTAAGAAGAAAGATTTCTCTGGACCACAGTTCAGGCCCCATATTTGGGAGTCCATTCAGACTCAGAAAGGTGCAACTAGCTCACATAGTCAAAAAGAAAAGGCGGTGTTTATATGTGGAATCTAAAAAATACAATAAACTAGTGAATGTAGCAAAAAGGAAGCAGACATATTTATAGAGAACAAACTAGTGGTTACCAGTGGGGAGAGGGAAGGAGAGAGGGGTAATAAGGGATAAGGGACTCAGAGGTAGAAAGTATAATGTATAAGATAAGCTACCAGGATATATTGTACAACACAGGTAATTTTGCTAATATTTTATAATAACTATATATGGAATATAACTTTAAAAAATTGTGAGTCATTATATTATACACCTGTAACATATAATATTGTACATCAACTATACTTCAGTAAAAACATTTTTAAAAGACCAAGTGATGAGCTAAAACTTTTCGTTTGAATTCCTGAAAGTTTGTGTTTTTATCCATAGTCTCTGGTCTTTTCAGGGACAGTGACTTTTATACCATGTTACTACACCAAGTCTTATATATGTCTTTGGAATGGAAAAACTGTTGCCACTCAGTGCAATATCAGGTATTTCCAAGTGAGTTCCTTGAATGTGAAGAATGTATTTTTAGAAAATATTTATTTATTTGTTTGTTTGGCTGCACTGGGTCTTAGTTGCAGCATGCGGGATCTAGTTCTCTGACCAGGGATCGAACCCAGGTCCCCTGCATTGGGAGCATGGAGTCTTAACCACTGGACCACAAGGGAAGTCCCAAGAATGCATTTCTGAATCAGGAACTTTTGATAGGGGAGATGCATAAACAGGAATATATTTTCTCTTTATGATGTTGCTGTTACATTGTGGAATTAGCCTTTTGCATATCCAGGACTCAAGAGACTGTTTCTACCTATTTGGATACTTCTCCAAGTGGGTGGTTCATCAATGTGTATTGAATAGTGACCAGGATATCTGTAAGTAAAAAATCAAGTAAAGTAGAGGCGATTAGCTGAATGGCATTAGCATCTAAGAAAGTATTTTATAAGAGATTGTAGAGCAGGATTTGGCAAAGTACAACCCATGGGCCAAATACAGCCCATCACCTGTTTATATACCTACCACTTTCAAGCTAAGGATGGTTGATTTTACAACTTAAAATAGTTACATTTTAAATGTAAGCACCTATGTAATATCCTCAATTTTGCCTCTTGGACCACAAATCCTAAAATATTTACTATCTGGCCCATTATGGAAAAAGTTTGCTTTCACCTGTTATAGAGTAATGGTCTTGAAATATCAGTAGAGAATATGAGTAATGCAGGACTCTTTCTCCTCCCCAACTGTGGTAGGTTGACCCTAACCCTAATCCTAAGATATCAACATCCAAATCCTTGGAATATGTGAATATGTTACTTTACATGGCAAGAAGGATTTTACAGATGTGATTAAATTAAGGATATTGAGATAGGATATTATTCTAAGTTATCTGGGGATGGACAATATAATCACAAGGGTCAATCTAATAGGGAGGCAGAAGGGTCAAAGTCAGACAGGATATGTGATGACAGAAGTAGAGGTTTCAATGAGCCTTCCTCTTGGCAAGGAAACAGATGCTCCCCTGGAGTCTTCAGATACAGCCAGCCCTGCCAACATTTTGATTTTAGCTCCATAAGACTCATTTTGGACTTCTCAACTCCAGAACTATAAGATAATAAATTTGTGTTGTTTTAAGCCACCAAGTTTTTAATATTAATGTGTCACAGCTGTAATAGGAAGCCAATACATCTATCAGCCCTGTGTTCCTTGGGTGGTAGAATTTTAGGCTTCACCATAGAGTCTCCCAAAATATATTGAGTGCCTATAGGCAAGCTGGGCAAGAGGTAGAGGTAAAGTTGTGAGAGAAATTTAGTGTAGCTGATTGCACATTTTTGGTTTTAGAGAGTATTTGGAAAAGGCACCCAAGGAAGAACTCAGTTGTAATCAGGGAAGGAAGAACTGTAGAGTGGAATGTGACTGAAAGTTAAGGGAAGGTAAATGATTGAAGGAACTGGGAGTTGAGACATAGTTGCATTAGCTAACCTCAGGTTTTGAATGGCCGCTATCCAGGTGTCTCTCTGAAATCTAATGATGCCACCATTGGTAGAAAAACAAAAGGGAAGAAAGTTCTTAAAATTATTAAGGTTGTGTTTTATGTCAGCCATATAAGCCCTGTGACTTCCTTACCAAACAGAATATTTATCTCCACCTGCCTCTTAATTCAAATGAAATTTCCTTCCTCCGACTAACAATCCATCTCCCTATTATGTTTTCCGTAATTTGCACACAGTGGTAACCTTGGTGACCAGTCATTTGTTGCAGATACAGCTCTTAGAGTTCAAAATGATGTCCTCACTCTAGAAACTATTCACTAAATAGACCAATATCTCTTAATACAACATTTCTCAAATTATGTCCAATTTGAGATCACCAATTACTACACCTTGGAACTAGAGGTCCATAAAACACAGTTTGGAAAACATCTCTTTAAGTCATTAAAACAGAATGTAAAACACAGATTAAAACTGAAATTTGGGAATTGGGAGATTGAGATTGACACATATATGCTTTTGATACTATGTATAAAATAGACAACTAATGAGAACATACTGTATAGCACAGGGAACTCTACTTAATGTACTGTGGTGACCTAAATGGGAAGGAAATACAAAAGGGTATATATGTATACGTGTAGCTGATTCATTTTGCTGTACAACAGAAAATAACACAACATTGTAAGGCAACCATACTCCAATAAAAATTAATTTTAAAATCCCTGCAATTTGGAGTGAGTTCTTAGTAGTGTTCCAGGGCTTGGAAGAAATACCAGTACATGCAATACCTGAGGCTTTCTCAGAAATTTGGGTCCATACTAGAATAGACCCTACAATTCAAAATTATCTATGAACAGTATGAATATAAAAACATGAAAATCCAAGGCTACTTTTGGAGGTTCTCTCCAGATATGTGAGCAGTTTTTGAACTTCCTGAACCAACTTGCATGTGGGTGCAATGACCCACAATGTCCCTTTTCCCAAGATGCCTGCAGCTCTCAATAATTGGTTCCTTCTAGGTGATGGGGACCATATGCAATACTTCTCTGGAGACCAGGAAGGCAGCAGGTGTTGCTAAAGATCTTGACATGCAGGATGCCCAACTCTTCCCTTTTGCCTAACATTGAATGTGTGAAGAATGCAAGAATGCTGGTGTTTCCTGGTTGGATATGAAACAGAACCCCTAGGATCAACCTTGACATATGGCAAATGGAGAGGCAGGCAATTTGTTAATTGAGTTTAACCTCTCTTATGCATTGAGTACTTAAAGGATATTTGACAGGTAATATCTTATTGTCTGTGTCCTCCACTAGATTCCAAGTTCTATGAGGTAAAAAAAAAAATTTCTTTTCAATATTCCTAACACAATGCCTTTCCTTAGTATGTGCTCAGTACACATGCATTGTGACTAAATGTTAACTTTTAGCATCCAAAAGCTCTTCTGAAATTCAGAGGCAATTTTGGTGTTGTTGCTATTGCTATACAAGGATGTAATACTAATTGTATTATTGTGAGTTATTTTCTGCCAGGCTGTTTTAGTTGCCAATAGAGGGAAAATGTCTTATTTTGGTGAAAATGAACAAATAAGTAAAATAACATCTGGTTGTATCTGAAGATTCTGTTAACATGAGAAAAATATATGAAAGAGTAGAATGTTTATAAAGCATCCATTTTTTTTTTTACCCCTGAGATTCACTGGGATAGATTTTGGAGATTCCACTGGCATCATTTCAACAAATATTTACTGAGTATTTAGTATGTTCAAGACAGCAAGAGAATTGTGTCCTCTACCTGAGTCTGCCAGAGGAGATAAGAAAGTACATAATGGCTGCTTTGCAAAGTATAATATGAAAAGAGTAAAACTGAAAGATACAATGTGCTAGAACTTCCAAGGATGAAGAGATCACTGGCAGCTGGGGAAAAATAGCCATGGAGCTACGTCCATATCCCTCAAGTGTTCAGTCTTAGGGAGAATGAAGACTCAATGGCGCCGGAAAGCCAGATAAATACACATTCAAAATAACACACATTTATTAATAATCTTTTCTTAAAGTAGAACACCTCATTGCTGTTTGTGGAACAGCATGTGCTCATAATATTCTTCATACAAAGGGAGGCCTTACCAAAGTACATTCTAGTTACCAGTAATGCTCACTTTAATGTTTTATTGATGCTCCCTGCACCAACACACTGGATTATTTATTGTTTACCAGAGCCTTTTGTGGGTAACTAAGGTGTTCTCTTATATGAGAGAATCTTATAAGACAGAAATCTATCATCCAAGATTAACAGAAAATGCCCATCTGATCCAGGCTTTCTGTCTCTTTGAAATTATTTTAAATGACTATTTGCAGTATATAATTATTTTTTAATGTGCAGAGTTTATAATTCGAAGGCCAGAGCTTTCTCTCAGGGTTGAGTTTATAAATTTTCAGTTGGCTTGTGAGGCTGGTAGGGGTACTTCTTCTTGCCTAATTTGGTTTCTGGGAAGATTTCATTCAAGTCCTCAATGGTCATCTTATCAAATGGAATTATGTTCTTCATCTTCTCCATGTCTTTCTCATATTCTTCAATCCTGATCTTTGGAAGAGACAAAAACTCAGCACAACTTTTCACCTCTTTTTCTTCAGCATCCAAAGGGAAACCTTAGTTATTTTATTGCTTGGAGTTTGGGACCAAGGTGTAAGATCTTTGAACTAAGTCCTTCTTAGGTCCCCTCAACTAAGTTCTCAATTTCTCTTGGGGAATCCTTTGTGGAAAGAAAGGTGACTCTGATTCCACTCAAGTGGAATGGGTGTCATGGTGGCCAAGATCTGGGACACAGGGTTGAGGCATCAGAGCCAGGGAAGAACAATGAACACTAAACTTAGGGGTCAGGGCAGGCATGGGAACCAGTTTCAAGGCCAGCAAGTGGAAATCAAGGAGAAAATGAAGGGAATGAGAGGTTCCAGGAGTATGTTGGTGCCTGCAGCGAACAGTAACAAAGGATAATTATGGAGACTGTGGAAAGGCCAAAGGAGGAGGCAATGTGACTATAGTAAGGGCAAAGGTTAAGAGATTGCTGTGTGGGAGAAAATGGACACAGGAGTTCTATTTATTCATAATTTATATCGACATAAAACTTCCAGAAAGTTTAAGGCAGCTTTCAAGAATAGAAACAATTGCAGTACAGTTGTTAAAGTAGAAATAAAAATAGTTTGAAATAAGGAGAGGGAACAGGAAACAAATTTACTAAATGCCCAAGAAAATCTGGTTATTTTGACTGAGCATTGACTTTAGCTTGGACTTTTCTAGTAGCCAGGGGAAAAAAAGGGACAATTTTCATAAACTTGCTGTCAAATAGAAGCAAGCAAGAAGCAGGATTAAATGCCAGCTTTCTTTTTTATTCAAAATAAAAAGAACAAAACTTCCCTGTAGGAACAGATGGAGTACTGAATTGAAAAGGAAGTCTGGGGCTTCCCTGGTAGCGCAGTGGTTGAGAGTGTGCCTGACGGTGCAGGGGACGCGGGTTCGTGCTAAAGGTGTTTTGTGGATGTGATGCCTGTTATAGGATGAGAGTTATAGGATGAGTGGAAGTAATCCAGGAGAAGATGTTTTGGGGGGAGATGGGGTGGAGAGGGCAGGAAGGTGCACCAAGAAGGAAGGATCTATTCAAAGCCCAGGAGACAAGAGGGAGCCTCGTATGTTCCTAGAAGGGAAGAAGTTTATTCTAGCTGGTGTTTAGAATGTGAAAGGGGAGTAGTAATATCTGAGGCTGGAGCCACAATTAGAGTATAGATCTTGTGGGGTCTTATAACCACGTTGAGGAGTTTAGACTTTATTATAAGAACAAAGGGAAACCATATAATTTTTATCAAGATATTCATCAAAGGATTAACATGATCACACTTACATTTTTGAAAGGTCACTTTGTGGAAAAGAGAATGATTGAATTGGAACAGGATTGAAGCAGAAGGATCAATTAGGAACTTGTTGCCATAATCCAGGAGAGTTTAAATTGGCCCTGAATAAAAAAGTGGTAGTGTGGTAGATGTAAATTATTTTGGAGTCCTCTCTCTCTCATACACACACAACCTTCAGGAATTGATTAGTGACAGTGGGCTAGGAAGAATTCAGAGATGAAGTCTTCATGTGGACAGTGTTGGGTCTACTGAGATAAGAGACACAGGATGGGGAGAAGTTTTGAGGTGGAGGGTGGGGAGTGAATATGTTTTGGTATATGTTTGGTATATTATGTTTATTATTTTAATACCCTAAATATACAAAGGGAAGTAGCCAATAAGCTATTTGATAAATGGGTCTTAAGTTAGGAGATTGGAGACAGTATTCTGATGATAACTGAAGCTATATGAGCCAATGGGCAAAGTATTTAGCAGGTGCTCTCTCAATAGTTGTCATGGGACCAGCAGGTAGACAAGAATCAAAATGTTGATTAAGGTGAAGAACAAAAGGGCATATTTTATGTAAAATTACCAAACATTTTGTGTTAACTCAAAAAATAAATATATTCACATGACAATCTTTGATATAAAATTATGGCTTTTCAAAAACTTAGGTCTAGTGATTAGAGTTTTACATGGTATTTCTTGCTGAGTTCATACTTGGAATGAAGCACCTGCAATTCCCAGTTTTCAGCTTCTATAAAGTGGAATGAAGGCCAAAAAATGCTTGCGAAGAATCTATATATATATTCTCTCTAGAGATTCACTTTTCCTTTTGGTTATTTATAGTTGTTTCTGTCAACCTAATTCTTCTTCTTCTTCTTTTTTATTAAGCAGCTTTGTCCTGAATCTTTCTAAAGCATTAAACATTTTCTTTATGAAGTCACACTTGTCAATTTATGGAATATTTAATTATAGCGCATATAACATAACAAGTGGAATTAGATGAGGAAGAAATACTCATTGTTGTAAGTTGTAAGTACACAACTCAATGGGAGGGGACATTTTACAGAGTAACTGAGCAGACTGAGTGTGGGTCAGAGTGTTTTACAAAGAAAGTGAGGTATATTGCTTTATTTGCTAATTAGTTGAGACTGTTTAAGAGAGGTATAACATAAATCCTAAGAATATAAATTAGTGATGCTTGCCTTTAAATCATGAATTCTGTTTTGCAACATCAACATTTAAAATAAAACATTTATTTCTCCATCTATCAGAATTGCTGTCCCTGTCTTTTGGTTTATAATAGGAGCAATAAGGCATTAACAAAGCCTATCTTTCCCATTTTTTCTAGTAAAAAGTTAAATTTCATATTAAAACAGTGATCTTAATGTTACACGAAATCTTGGTGACCAAGAGCAAATTTCATAGTCAAGAGAACCTTTGCCTTTTCTGCTGTTTCTGAAATGTTTTGAACTTTTCCCAAATCTAATCTTATGCACAGGGGGTGGTTAGATTGCTGAGTTTGAAAATCGCTGCATTGAGCTGGGCATAATCAGCCTCTTTTAGTAGTTTGTGTTCACCTTTGTGTGCTGCTCATAATCAGAGTGGCTTCACCTTTCACTAGCTGTCCAGGAGTGTTTAAGATGATAAAGCTTTAATTTTCAGTCTGTTAAAAATTCCCTGGGTTCCTCATCCTGCCTCTCTTCGTTTCTTCTACATGAATTTCAAGAGATAAAACATGGTGCAGGGCACTGCTCTGTTGACAAAATAAAATTCTGATTCCAATGGCAGACCTCCCTACTGATTTATTTGTCTTGAAAGAGAGAGCTTCCCTCTTGAATTCAGTGTTTCTCATACCCACCTAAACTTACCCACCTTGTTCCTCCTTCTGTCTTTCCTCTTGTTCCTTAACACCATCATTCCCTGTCCACCTGTAATGCCAAATCATAAATGTGAGCAGCATCCTAGTCTCTTTCTTTTCCAACTCTACACAGTATTGGTCACCACACATTATCAATTCTGTCTTCTAAATTTATCCTCCCAATTTTGCCAATACTACCACTGGATTCTTTCACCTGGATTATAGTCTAGGACTTCCAATTTATCTTCCTCCCATTAGATTCAGCCCTATTTTCATCAGCCATCCACACTGCCACCAAAATGACATTTCTAAATTGCAAATCTGTGTATGTCATTTGCCTATCTAAAACTCCACCCAGTTGCTCATCTCCTTCAGGATAAAAAGTCCAAGCTTTTTACCTTGAACCCTCTGGTCTCTTCAACTCCCCTCTCTCCATGTATCAGACTCCTTTGAGCCTCCAAATCCACTGCCTATTTTCATGCCCCCTTGCATTGCATGTGTTCTCTCAGTATATACAGCTTCCCCACTTGGAAGCATGGCAAACTCCTTCTCATCCTTTAAAACCCATGTGTCACTTTCTCCCAGAAGTTGCCCTGCACCACCCTCAATTCTTCACTTCTTCCTGGATGTCATTTTGGAATATTGATCTGCTGCGAGTATGTAAATATTTATTGGAGAGTCTATTTCCCTGTATGGTTGTGATCTCCTTGATCCTAGTTTTAGTTTCCTAAACTAAAGCAAAGTGCTGGCCACACTGAGAGAAATAAAACATTATTAATGGTTGATGTAATCATATGAATGAATGTCCCTAGCATAGTTCCCTCTTTTATTCCTTTTGCTAGCAAGGAAAACTGCAGTCCTGAATAAAGGAGATGCTCACTGCATTTGCCTAGTGGAATTAGATAGAACAGATCTCCATGAGAAAAAAAAATAATCTTGTTGGAGATGCCAGGTATTTGTCACTCTAGGGATTAGACAAAAAGAATGTCTGGTCTCTAAGTATTCTGGATTTCACTCACCTCAACCTTCACCTTGGAAGGAAACTCCACCAACAATGTAGTAACATGGAATTTTCTTGGCATGTTTTGTGAAAATTACCACCATATAGTCAACTAAACTGTGTAAAACAATAAATATCACTTAATTTTCTTAGATTTAATGAGCACTTCCGGTGTTGTGTGCCAACCTTAGGGAGAGAGACTTTTTGGAAAGGGTTAGGACTTAGTGGGTCAGCAATTGGGAATGTGGGTTTTATTATCCAAGTAGTAATGTCACCTTTAAATACTGAGGTGACATTATCTGTAAAGTAGCTCTCCATTCACTACTACACTTATAGAGAGTAAAGCTACTCTCCAGCTCCAGAACAGCTAATGCAAAATTTAACCAGACAGTCCCTAAGAAATTAGGATTCTGGATTGCAAATGAAATAGCCTAGATGAACTAGCTTAAACACAAAAGAGGAATATAAGATTGTCTCATGGAACCCAAGAATGAGAACACACCTGCTGGAAAAGCAGGGCCTCAAAGTGCCCTGGTTCATCTCTCATATCTTCTCTCCCCTCACCAGTTGTAGCCTCTACTTTCTATCTTCTGTAGATCAGCCATCTCTGCTTTCTCCTTGCAGGTGAGAGAGTTTCTTTGTAATAATTTAATTTTTTTTAATTTTTAAAAGTATCATAGCAAAATGAACTTTTTTCTTTTGAAAAATACTTATGAATTTTGTGAATTTTAATGCACATATAAATTTGTGTAACCACTATCACATCAGGATACAGAACGGTTTCATAACTTCCCAAACTATCACATGCTATCCCTTTTCAGTCACACTTTGCCCCCATCCATAACCCCTGGCAACCACTGATATGTTCTCCATCACTATAGTTTTGTCTTTTTGAGAATGTAATATAAGCAGAATCATACAGTATGTAAATTTGGAGAACTGGCTTCCTTCAATTGCCATAGTGTCTTTGTGATTAACTCAAGTTGATGTATGTATCACTAGTTTCTTCCTTGTTACAGAGGTATATTATTCCATTGTGTGAATGTACCAAATTTTGTTTAATCCATCCAGCTACTGTAGAATGAGATGAAGTTTTAATGCTTATCTCTTTAGTTGCAAGAAAATAACTAATTGATGTTCTTGGTTTCAAATCCAGAAACCCTTGTGAGTTACTAACAGGCCTATCATGAATTAGATCACCATCCCTGGAGAAATCAGTTAGAATTCAGGATAAGGTGTTGAACTGGTCTAACTTGGGTCTATGCTCAGTCCTATTGTTTCATCTTCGACCACAAGGGCACACTATTAAGAGAACAAGGCAGCTGCCACAGAAACCATAAGGATGAAGAGGAAGAGGAGTGAGGGGTGAAAAAAAATGCATTCTTAACCAATTACCTCATAAACTTGTTTTTCATTAAACTTCTTCCCAGATAAATTGGTCTAAAAGGTATGGTTTGCCAACCTTGATTCATAAACTGTTAGAGCTGTGTTGCAAACTCAATTTGGTAGGAACAATTACATTCCTTCATTGTCTGAGTGGTAACAGACAAGGGGCAGTGACTGCTTGTGGATCATATGGCCCAGCTCACTTACCTTCGCTGGATTGGCCCTGCTCCCTTAGCACTGTGACTTGTTTAAGTGTCCAGGTACACACAGAAGATCAAAGAAACATATGGTGGAAGCCCAACCTGGTGCAAACATTTTGTTTGTAAGTCATGGTCTCATCTCTCATTTGCCTTTTCTTTCCTTGAAAAATAAAAGATTTCTTTTTCTTGTTTTTCCATCTAAAATGTTGTCCTATCTAAGGCATTTTCTAGTCAGTGCTGCACTGCCTTCAAAATACATTTTTCTATCCAGTGCACAATAATTGCTGTGATCAATGAAAGTTTGAAATCAGGCTTCCACTCAGCTTTGTCTGTCACCCGTATATCACTTACATCAAAGAGACCTGCCTCTGCTTAAATCCCTAAAGCCAAGGAAACAAAAAAGAAAAAGCCAACCATTGTTGATATCACTCTCAAAAGACACTGCCTTGTCTTTTGTTCCTGGAGAAGGGGAGAAATAGGGGAGGGTGACCTCAAGCATAAGTAAAGTAGTTGGGGCTCAGGGTCTACTAACCCTTCAATCAGAATAGTACTCTTGTGATTTCTGTTACATACAGGGCCTCTGTGTAGATTTTATTAGAAGAAAAGCATTCCATTGCTGAAGAAAAACTCTGACAACAGCCTAGCCAAATACAGAGATACAGAGATTCCTACCATCTGCTAGTCTTGCTTTGTTTCTTCTGTTTTGCTTTTCTCTTATGGACTTTTATTCTTTGGAAGTTGTTTCTCTAGGAACTGCCTTGTACATAATTTAGTTATCCATTTTTGGTGTATTCAAGAAAATTTTTTTTAAAGTTTTTAAAAATTATGGAAATAATGTTCAGTTAGAAAAACTGTAAAATGTATAAAAGAAAAAAGAGGTGGCTAAAAATCATCCTTTAATCCATCACCCAGAGACAGCTACTTTCAACATTCAATCCAATACTAAATCCTATCATTGTACTGTCAATATATTTGGGAAATTCATCCATTTTATTCCATTTCTACTACCAAGTATTCGTAGAAATTTCTACTAGTCCAAGTTTTATAACTGGTCTCTCAATCTGTTAAAAATATCCATTACACCCCTGGTTAAAAATTTTCAGCTGATACTCAATAGACAAGTAAAACACATTTCCTATGAACCACTAGGGGTTGAATGCTTTGGCCTTGGAAACTTTTTTTTTTCTTGCGGTACGCAGGCCTCTCACTGTTGTGGCCTCTCCCATTGTGGAGCACAGGCTACGGACGCGCAGGCTCAGCGGCCATGGCTCACGGGCCTAGCCTCTCCACGGCATGTGGGATCTTCCCAGACTGGGGCATGAACCCGTGTCCCCTGCATCGGCAGGTGGACTCTCAACCACTGCACCACCAGGGAAGCCCTTGAGAACTTTTTTCATCACGTTTTCATTCTCTCCACTATGTTTACTCTGAGGATCTCATGTCAATACTCAATGGTTCTGTCTGCACAATATATCTAAGAGATTTCTTCATGTGCATGTGTTGACACCCACCCCCAGGTTCTAGTGCTAATATAGATGAATTCCTCTTTGGTTACTTCATTGAAAATGTGAGAAAGGAGAGACTAGGTACATAGAATCATGTTGCTATCTTGCCTCCTTAAGAGAAAGTTCTTTTCCACTAAGACATGATGATGAAAGTCAAAATAAACAGATTTGGCCATACAGGGTGCATGATTACCAGGGAGTACTTCTTTCAACACTGGAAAGGCAATATTGTCACCATCATTGGTCCTCTCTTTGACCTCAACCACATGATCTGTGGTTTTAGTGTCCATGGAAAGTTCAATGGCAGTGTCTAAGCTGAGACAGGAAAGCTTGTGATCAATGGCAGTAAATCTCCATCTTAAAATATCAAATGGGGGTGATGCTAGTGCTGAATATGATGTGGAATCCACTGGTGTCTTCCTTACCTTATAGAAGCCTGGGGTTCACTTAAAGTATAGATACCAAAGGATCATCACCTCTGCCCCTTCTGCTGATGCTGCCTAGCTGATGTTTCAATGTGATGGCAGTGAAACATGATGTATGACCACTCCCTCAAGATGATCAGTAATGCCTCCAGCAGAAGTCTTGGCCTCCCTGGCCTAGGTCACCATGACAACATTGGCATTTTAGGGAGATTGGTAACTATATCCATGCTATTATTGCCATATCAAAAGCTTTACATATCTCCTCTGGAAAACTGGCATGATGGCTGGGGTTCTTCTCAGAACATCCACTGGTACTGTCAAGGCTGTGGGAATGACCTCTATGAGCTGAACAGAAAGATCACTGACATGGTCTTCTTACTCCCAGGGTGTCTGTCATGGATCTGACCTGACCTCTGGAGAAAGTGAAAAATATGACAACATCAAAAAGCAGTAAACAATTAGTTAATAATGGAAACTCACATAAGACTATCAGCTGACTATTAAGCAGAAATTTTTTCACCAGAAAAAGTGGCATAATAGGTTCAAAGTGATAAAAGGAGAAAAAAACCATTTAACCAAGAATACTCTACCTTGAAAAGTTATCATTCAGAATTGAAGGAGAGATGAAGAGTTTTACAAACAAGCAAAAGCTAAAAGAATTCTGCCTACTAAATCAGCTTTCAAAGAAATGTTAAAAGGACTCCTCTAAGTGAAAAAGAAAAGACCTCAACTAGAATATGAAAATTATGAAAGGAAAAATCTCACTGGTAAAGGAAAATATAAGCAAAGGAAGTAGATCAACCACTTATAAAGCTAATAGGAAGGTTAAGAGAAAAAAACAGTAATCCATCTATAGGCACAATAAGTAGTTAAGGTGTGCACACACAAAAAAGATGTAAAATATGATGTCAAAAACTTTAAATGTGGGGTGTAACAGTAAAAATGCTGGGTTGCTCAAATGCATTCAAAATTAAGAGATCGACTTAAAATAATCATATATATATACATATTAGATACATACACACACACAAAGAAAAAGGAATACAAACATAACACTAAAGATTGTCATCAAATCACAAGGGAAGAGAGCAAAATAAAAAGAAAGGAACAAAAAAGAACAACAAAAACAACTAGAAAACAAGTAACAAAATAGCAATAAATGCATACCTACCAATAATTACTTTAAATGTAAATGAACTAAATTCTCCAACCAAAAGATATAGAGTGGCTGAATGGATACAAGAATAAGACCTGTATATATGCTGCCTGCAAAAAAAACCAAAACAAACAAAAATAAAACTTCAGAGCTAAAGACACACACAGACTGAAAGCGAGGGAATGGGAAATGATACTCCCTGCAAATGAAAATGAAAAGAAAGGTGGGGTAGCTATACTTATATCGGACAAAGTAGACTTTAAAACAAAGACTGTAACAAGAGACAAAGAAGGACATTACATAACACCCCACTTACATCAATGGACAGATCATCCAGATAGAAAATTAATAAGTATACTCTGGCCTTAAATGACATTTTACACCAGGTGGACTTACTTTATCTATATATATATAAAACTTTATATATATATAACATTCCATCCAAAAGTAGCAGAATACACATTCTTTTCAAGGGCACATGGTGTATTCTCCAGGATATATCACAAGTTAAACCCCAAAACAAGTCTCAAATTTAAGAAGATTGAAATTCTATCAAGCACATTTTTCAACCACAATGGTATAAGACTAGAAACCAACCACAAGAAAAATACTACAAAAAACACAAACTCATGGAGGCTAAACAACATGCTAAACAATGAATGGGTCACTGAAGAAATCAAAGGGAAATTTAAAAAATACCTGGGGACAAATGAAAATGGAAAGACAATCATCCAAAAACATGTGGAATATAGAAAAAGCAGTTCTAAGAAAGTTTATAGGGATACAAGCCTACCTCAGGAAAAACAAAAATTCAAAATAAACAATCTAATATTACACCTAAAAGAGCTAGAAAAAGAACAAATAAAACCCAAAAGTAGTAGAAGAAAAGAAATAATAAATATCAGAGCAGAAATAAATAAAATAAAGATTAAAAATGAAAATGAAACTAAGAGCTGGTTCTTTGAAAAGATAAACAAAATTGACAGACCTCTAGCCAGACATGAAGAAAGAGAGAAGGCTCAAATAAATAAAAACAGAAATGAAAGAGAGGTTACAACCAAAACCACAGAAATTCAAAGGATCATAAGAGATTTATTATGAACAATTATATGTCAATAAAATGGACAACCTAGAAGAAGTGGATAAATTTATAAATATACAATCTCCCACTACTGAGTCAAAAAGAAATAGAAAATGTGAACAGATCAATTACCAGTAATTGAAGTTGAATTAGTAATCAAAAAATGCTCAACAAACAAAAGTCCAGGACCAGACAGCTTCACAGGTGAATTCTATAAAACATTTAAAGAAGAATTAGCACCTATCCTTCTCAAACTATTTCAAAAAATTGATGGGTAAATAATGCTTACAAACTCATTCTACAGAGCCAGCATCACCCTGGTACCAAAACTAGACAAAGATACTACAGAAAAAGAAAAGTATAGGCCAATATCACTAATGAGCATAGAAGCAAAAAGCCTCAACAAAATATTAGCAAACTGAATTCAACAATACATTAAAAGGGTCATACACCACGATCAAGTGGCATCTATCCCAGGATGCAAGGATGGTTCCATATCTGCAAATCAATTGATGTGATACACTATCTTAACAAATTGAAGAATAAAAATCTTATGGTTACCTCAATAGATGCAGAGAAACCTTATGACAAAATTCAACATACATTTATGATTTTTAAAACTCTCAAAAAAGTGGGTATAGAAACATATCTTAATATGTTACTCATACTTAACATAAAAGCCATATGTGACAACACGTTACTCAATGGTGAAAAGCTGAATGCATTTCCTCTAAGATCAGGAAAAAGATAAGGATGCCCACTCACTCAACTTTTGTTCAACATAGTATTGAAAGTCCCCGCCACAGCAATAAGCAAGAAAAAATAAAAGGACCCAAATTGGAAGAGAGGATTGAAACTGTCATTATTTGCAGATGACGTGATATTATATATAGAAAATTCTATAGACTCTACCAAAGAACTATTAGAACTAATAAATGAATTCAGTAAGGTTTCAGGGTTACAAAATTAATGTACAGAAATCTGTTTCATTGCTATATATTAACAATCAGAAAGAGAAATCAAGAAAACAATCTGATCTACAACTGCATCAAAAAGAATAAAATATCTAGTAATCAACTTAACCAAGTAGGTAAAAGGCGTGTACTCAGAAAACTATCACACATTGATGAAAGAAACTGAAGAAGACACCCAAAATAAAAAGATATAATGTTCATAAATTGGAATAATTACTATTGTTAAAATGACCATACTACCCAAGGCAATATAGAGATTCAAGGCAATTCCTCCTATCAAAATACCAAGGACATTTTTTCCCCATGGATTTCAAAAAAATAATTCTAAAATTTCTATGGAAGCACAAAAAACCCCAAATAGACTATATGATCTTGAGAAAGATGAACAAAATTGAAGGTACCACACACCCTAATTTAATCTATACTACAAAGCTACTCTTATTGGAACTGTATGGCATTGGCACAAAAACAAGCACATAGATAAATGGAACAGGATAGACAGACAGAAATGAACCCACACTTATATGGGCAATTAATCTATGACAAAAGAGGCAAGAATATATAATAGAGAAAAGACAATCTTCAATAAATTGTGTTGGGAAAACTGGAGAGCTACATGCAAAACAATCAAACTGGACTACTTTCTATCACCGTATACAAAAATAAACTCAAAATGGATTAAAGAGTTAAATGTAAGGTCATAAATGTCTAAAAGAAAACACAGGCAGTATACTCCTTGACATTGGTCTTAGCAGTATTTTTTTTGGATATGTCAAGGTAAACAAAAGCAAAAATAAACAAATGGGACTCTATCAAGCTATAAACCTTTTGCATAGCAAAGGAAACTATCAATAAAATGAAAAGGCAGCCTACTGAATAGGAGAAGATATTTGCAAACAATATATCTGACAAGGGGTTAATATCCAAAATATCAAAGGGCAGACCTTCAAGATGGCAGAGGAGTAAGATGTGGAGATCACCTTCCTCCCCACAAATACATCAAAAATACATCTACATGTGGAACAACTCTTACAGAACACCTACTGAACGCTGGCAGAAGACCCCAGACTTCCCAAAAGGCCAG